GCCCTGCCAGACAAATCTAGAAATATCTCTCTGCCACTTCTTGAAACAGTCCATCTTATCTACAATTTGTAATGTCTGAAACAAAAACAACATTCTAGGCAATACATTCATCTTTATCACAGCAATACGGCCCAGCAACGAGAGTTTCAAATTTGACCAAATTTCTAAATCTTTTTCACTTCCGTCCAACATTTTTCGTAATTATCTTTAAATAAGTTCCCATTTTTGGCTGTCATATTAATCCCCAAGTATTTCACTTTCTTTACCACATTCAATCCTGTCTCATTCTGAAACCTCTCTCTTTCAATCGGTGTTAAGTTTTTCTCTAAAACCTTAGTTTTTAACTTGTTCAATTTAAAACCTGCCACCTGACCAAATTCCTGAATTAATTCTAAAACTCTTTTAGTACTAGATTCTGGCTCCTGTAACGTCAATACTAGGTCATCTGCAAATGCTCTCAATTTGTACTGTTTAGCTCCGACCTGTATGCCCTTAACCAACCGGTCCTTTCTAATCATATTTAGCAAAACCTCCAGGACCGATATAAAAAGCAGTGGGGTGAGGTGCCTTTTTCAGCTCAAAGCCCATATTCTCTTCTGGACATCTTTCCAGGGTGGGTGCCAGTGATGGTTGGGAGCAGTGGCAAAAGTGAGTGAATGAACATATACATATGTCTATGTGGGCTGGTTTCTATACACACCCTTCTATCCTCCATTCAGGCAAGAAAAATGCATTATCAAAATTCAATGACACATTTCAGCCAAGTAAAAACACTCACAGAGAGTGCAAACCAAGGGATGTGAATGGGAAGTGTACTGGGGGCCAAGTGGATGGGCTTGGAGGGCCACATTTCCCCCCAGGCTTGTGGTTCTCCATCCCTGATTTTCATGGTGGAGGGGGAAATTTTGAGAGAGAAAAAAAAAACAGGGTAAAAATGAACAGGGCTTGAGAAAGGGTGGAACAAAACAGGTTTATTATTTTCTTTGTCATGTAAATGTATTATTTGCCCATACAACATGTGTTTATTTAGATCTATAAAATCAGACTCTATTTCCTGTACAATATAAAAAGAAAGTGCCAATAAAACTTTTATTCATTTCTGTTATCAGGAAATACAAGCCCCAAGGGAAAGTGGGGGGGGGGGGACAGGGGCGGAAATACTGTTCGGACTATAGAGCATCACATCTTAATATGACATGCATTGTGTGTGCCTGTTTTAATACTAACAATATTAAGCTCCACAAAGCTTTATAAGCCAACACAGTGAGGACTACTTTTTGTGCTCAGTTTGAACTACGCGAGGTTCACATTTGAATGCGACAATATGCTATGCAATGGAATACTTTAGACCTGAGGTCTTTGTGTTTGGGACACTGACCGCATAACAGTAATTATCTCAGCTTTTCTGAAGCCAAGTGGAATTTTAGTGTAATGTTCTGCCTGTTCCCATCCATTAAATAACACATAACATCTGTGGTAAGAGCTGCATTCTGTCACTTAAGAGGCATCTCCAGAGTCCAGCCCTTATTATCTTGGTGCGATAATAATTTTGCTGGCAATTCAGGCCCTTGTCATTTAGCTGAACTATTGTAACACCCTGAGCTAGCAATGTGATGGATTCTAAGGTTCGCATTAATTATGCTCAGACTTCGGAGCCTTTATACATTCTTTTACGGTGAGGAAAGGCAGCTCTCTTTATTCCACCTTTGTCGGCGTCTCTGCTGCAGAGTTAGTGAATAAATCCTCAAGGGCATGCTGTTTTAAACTCAGATGAATTTGGGTATTCATAACAGTCTTATTACACCACTAGGCTGTTAAGTGGGCTTTAACAATCCTTCAGGATTCTTCAGCACAACTGGTGACTGGGATCATTGCTCCTATTTACCAACAACCAGCTACAGCTCTGAGGAACTGAGAAAAGCAGCCAGGGGCAGAACTGAAATCTCCATTAGAATATACCTCCAATGGGGATTAATCGCGCTCCATATGGTTCAAAGGTCAGTGAGAGGATGAGAGAGGAGATCGCTATGAAGCATCAAGCAAAGTACCATGTGGACTGCTCTGCATGAGACATTTAGTGACTGAATCATTTAGACCAAATGCTTCTTGTGACAGATCCCAGATGGCACAGACAACTGGCCACCTCATATTTAACCAGCTAACAGAGAGCAGGTCTCCAAGGACAACCCCAGGAAAGCCATTTTCATGAACTCGCTACTAGAGTAAAATTCATGGGAATGTTTGGAGAACGCCAAGTCTAAGTGTTATCTTGGCACCTGATGTGGAAAACTACCAGCTCAGTCTGGCCTTGTTGACTGGCCAGAGTTCCTGACTTAGATAGTAACCTAGTAACCCCAAGGTCTTTGCTCAAGAGGATTTAGGATATAAGACTGGAGGGAGGGGGGAAACAGACACCGGTGTGTGTGTGTCAACACTCTGTAGGCTGCTTTAAGATTAAGATGTAGACATGTGCAGAGAAGGGAAACAAATTACATTTGGTACAATGATTTTAATCCATCCTTACTTTTGACCTTTTAGATTCACCCTGATATATTAATACACAATAAAATGTATATTTTATATATACAAAGATATGGCTCAGCAATGCTCCTTATAAAGCCAGTCTTACGAGTTTGGGTGTGGATACCTAGAAACCAATTACTTTTCACTTTCCGAGCACAATTCAAAGTGTTGGTGCTGACCTTTAAAGTCCTAAACGGCCTCGGTCCTGTATACCTGAAGGAGCGTCTCCACCCCCATCATTCAGCCTGAGGGCCTTCTGGCGGTTCCCTCATTGCGAGAAGTAAGGTTACAGGGAACCAGACAGAGGGCCTTCTCGGTAGTGGCGCCCACCCTGTGAAACACCCTCCCTTCAGATGTGAAGGAAATAAGTAGCTATCCTATTTTTAAAAGACATCTGAAGGCAGCCCTGTTCAGGGAAGTTTTTAATATTTAACGCTGTATTGTTTTTAATACCTGATTGGGAGCCGTCCAGAGTGGCTGGGGAAACTCAGCCAGATGGGCGGGGTATAAATAAATTATTATTATTATTATTATTATTATTATTATTATTATTGCCGGGGAGAGCTATTACTCAGGTAGGAGGTTTGTACCTCTTACCTTCTTCTCCGGGTAAATCCACCAACTGGTCTTTCCCTCCATCATGGAATGCCCTCCAAAGAGATGCTCACCTAATACCTACTTCGTGGTCTTTTGGGTGTCAGAATAAGACATAAGACTTTGCCCTGGTTTGTCGTACTTCAACTGTTCAAATATTTGAGGTCCTTTTTGCAAATATTTTTTTTCTGTTGCTAGTTTTATTCTGGTTTTATGCAGTGGCTGGTTTTGTGTTGCTTTAGTTTTCATGTTTGTTGGGTCATTGCTTTGTGCAGCTTTAATTTTTACTATCAGATGCCCAGAGAACCTTTGTTATTGGGTGGTATATACTTGTTATAAATAAATGAGACCCCACATAATGGAACGCAACATGAATTGTCCCATTGGCAATTACATCTCTCATCTATATCTGAAAAGTGTTGTCTTATTCCCTCCACAACAGAGAACACAAACGGTTTATTATTCTAAAGGGTATTTATTATTAATTCCATTTATATCCCACATTTATTCTGTGGAACTTCTGCATCTGAAATAATAAATGAATCCCTGGCATGTAGAATGCTTAATTTCAATCCCAGATTGATCTATTTCTACCAATAATGTGAAAATTGCTACATCACTAGGTTATGGATGTCATTTGCACTTTGAACTTTAGCCTCTAACATCTTTTCTTTTCTTTTTTTCCTTCCTGCCGACTAGATTCTAGTAGCATGTTTTTCCACAGGGTTGGTGAAAAAATGTTGATGATGAATCAAATTTTATGTCAACCGTAGAAGCAATAAAGCAATTATTTTGCACATGACCATGTGACATTTTAAAAGATCTGTGGACAAACAAAGGAATATATTGTCTCTGCACTTTAATACAAATTTAATACCTTTAAGGAGCATGGGTGTCACTTCAAAAGGAGCTTAAAGGAACTGTGTCTGTGCATTTTATTTGAATACATTTCACAACAGATGCATAATAATATGAGAAAATGAGATCTGAACAGACTCAGGCCAGTGATGCTACAGTCCAGGATTCTCAGGTCTCTGAGGATTAAACTGCACTTTATAGTAAACACATAGCCTGAATCTATGCAGGCAACCATACATTTTTTCCTTACTCATAAATAAGTGTGTGGGGGGGGCTGATCAAGAAACAAGAGGTTTAATTCTTCCTTCTCCTGCTGGGATCTCCCCCAAAACTATCTTCATTCTACAAACATCTGTAGAGAGAATAAAAAGACCTTACTAGTGATGAGCACAATGCCAGGGGATGGGGGGCAGTTGGGGAGGAAAGGGTTAAACCTCAGGGAAGGATTAAATCTGACTACCTCACCTGCTGTGATCCTAACTGAATAAGCACACTTTCTTTTGAGTCAAAACGTGAATAAGCACACACACACACACACACACACACACACACACACACACACACGTGGCTGCCGGCTATGTTTTCAGGCACTCCAAGTGTACCTATTTTCCAGTCCCGGATTTACAGAAGCTGTCCCAGTTTCTAATTTGATCTTGGAATGGCCCACTTTTCCTCAGGACGACCCTATTTTCACCAGAGAAATGTTGGAAGTTATGTGTATTCAATGTAATGGGTACCTTGACCCTTAGATTCAATCTATATATACTACTAGACTGAGAGAGCTGATTTCTGAAGTACTTGGCTGAACTATCATTGTGGTCATTACTGAATGCTCTCCTAATGAAAAACAAACAAGCATCATTTCTCATCTACAAGTAGATGAGTTAGAAGTTAGAAGTGGACAACCCAAGAGTCATGAGGAGTGCGTAGAGATGATGCTCCACTTCTTAAGCTGGCAACCAGCTGCGGGCAGGTCAAGGCCTCTGGAAGCAGCGACCCTGTTGCCATGGTGACAGGGCAATGACAGTCGCAAGGGCAAGCTCTGGATATCTTGCATGAATTGGGAGCAGGCAGAGGAAGCATGACAGATCCCACCAAGAGGAATTTAAACTTAGAAGCTGAGAGAAGTGTCTCTAGAAGTGTCCAGAAGGAGACTGAACATTGAAGGAAGAGGCAGAAGGGTGGTTTTAACCTCTCCCCTTGGAAGCAAAGACCTCAAGCAAGGTCAGATTAAGGTCCCTAGCACAGAATTTTGTGTGTGTGTTTGTGTGTATCCCTCTCTTCCTCCTCAGTTTTCCTTCACTTTTCAGTCCCCTAATCAAGCCCTGTGTCTGCTGGTCACAAGAAAGCACTGGCCTTCTTCCCTCTGCCATATGGTAGGCAAGGTCTCACATGGGCATTAGAGATAAAGTTTTGAACCCAGCTAATTCCTGCTGATGGGCCACATTTACCACCAATGGTGTAAAGTGGTACAGTTCATTCTTTCTGCCGCATGTGTAGATGATGCAACAGATTTTTTAAAAAAAAAATAATGCAGCATGCCAATATACCAAATTGTGGCCTTTTCTCCACTCCCAGCTTCAGGTGCTTTGAGGCGTTTGAGGACTAAAGAAGGATGGGCTCACGTCCAGTTTCTGGACATAAGGCAATCCTCTACCCATCCTCAAACAATAAGCAACATTCTCCTATCAGCAAGAGGTATACATTCGATATGTTCTGACTGCAGAAAAGCCATTCCTTTCCCTCCCCAATAAACATTCCAATGTGAGTGTTATGCCCTACGTGGCTGTAAATAGGCCAAGAGTAAGCCATGATGAATAGCGAGAGCTCCAGTAAACTATTCATCTAGCTGACATCATCACACTAAGCCTTCACCTTCTCGCATGGATTTAGGAAATGAAGCTTGGTTCGCAGCAGATAGAAGAAACATATGGTGAATTTTATTAGTCTTCAGAGGCAACTTGAAAATCCCAGGAGCCTTTGTGATTGCTTTCTTTCCCATTATATCCGCAGTGGTGTTAGGAACCACGCGTAGAGAAGTGGAGTGATGATGAAGATGTGGATTATCCTTGCATGCAGAAGGTATATTATGCAGTTAGATGTTGCTGCCACACTGAGAAGAAAACTCAGACAATAAATGCCAGGAAGCATGTAAGCAGCAGGAGTGGGCATGAGTGCCGTCCTGTAAAGTGTTCCAAAGTGAAAATCAAAGCGAGGAGATAAAAGCAAACATTGGTCTGGGCTTTTTAATCAGGCGCCTGGAGCAGAGCTAAGGCAGGAATGATAAATCTGTGACTATGTTATAGTACAGGGAGAGAGAGCACCACAGTTGATCAGGTCAATGTTTATGTTAACTGTGGTGGAAATCATTGAGCACTCACCTTTCACCTGCGCAAATAAATCAGCAGCTTAGAAACTGTGGCTAATTTATGGCATAGCATGCAATCTCACTAACAACTCAGGTGGAAAGGTAAACAATTTAAAACAATCCGAGATTTATTTGCAGACTTCATACACTAGTAAATGTGGCCTGCTTCTAATAATTACTATTAGAAATTCTTTGTTGGCAGGAAAATGTGGTGAAATTTAGTCTGATTCTGACGTAATCATGGAATGTGGTTGGTTAGCTAGCCCTTTATGTACCCTACCCCAAACCAGGAACTTCACAGTCAGAAATGCTGGATGTTAACTATACAGAGCATTTCAAGGGGGACTGGAAACATTTTCTTGTCCATGTGAAAAGTAACTTTCCATATGCAAAGTCCACAGAGGAGTTTGAAGTCTAAGAGAAAAAAGAGCAGAACATAGTAAGAAATCTGTTAAAAAGGATGAAACAGAATATTCTAATTATATGTAATCATGATTATAAACATGGGTGCTCAGGAAGTCATTGGTATTGTAGAATAGGATTATACTGTAACTGTTGTGTGATAAAGTGTAACTTTGAATTTTGAAATAAAACAAAACATTAGAAGTCAAAAAAGGAAGAGCCAATCTGCAAAATGAAAAAAATCTATAATCTGCATTAACAGTTCCAGGTTCGCACATACATTAATGTAAATAAAGTCAGTTTATCTATACATGATTATTATTAGCTCTTCAATGTTTCAGTCTCATTTGAGCGAGGGGCATTTGGCTTGAAACCCTGAAGCAAAATGAAAAGGGGAGGTCAAAACACTGGGGTAGGGCTTAAATAATTTGGGAGGAAGACGAGTGGAGATGGCTTACAATTCCAGCCAAAGGGATCCTTCTTAATTCCCCCCACTTTTTTTATTATTTTAAAACTCATTTTTCCCCCCTACATAAACTCTGGTAATATGGCACAGCAGCACAGCTCTGGCTACTGCTGCTACCATTTTCCCTCCCTGACATGTCATGTCACAAAACCTGTTGGGAAAGCAGTTCTGAAAAGTAAGAGAGGGAATCTGAAGCCTCTCTCCATTCTCCTTTCTGAAACCATTTAGAAACCCAACGGTGACACATTTTCACTGTTAGGTAACCCTTTCACAATTGGTTAAATCTTCTCTTCCCTGTGGTTCCAATTATGATTGGCCTCATGCTGCTACTCAGCTTTTCCCTAAGTTTAATAGCAGCATGGGGAGAGGAAATTCCACCAGCATTGCAGGAAAGGGGAGTTTCAAAACTTTATTCTGCCTGCAATCCCTGCTGTGCTGCTCAGCTGACTGAGAAACAACTGAGAGAGGTGAAAAGGGGGCTGGACTACAGAACAAAATTAACCCTTAGATGGACCCCACTCCCTTCTTCCTGCTTCTTGGCTAATCAGTGGGAGGGTATTTTGTGGGAGCAACCAGAAGGTGTTCAGGCCATGCAGATTGCACACTTCTGAACAAGAAAAAGAAAAGAAAAAAGGAGATTTTTTTCCATGGAAATTATATACAGTGGTACCTCGGGTTACATACGCTTCAGGTTACATACGCTTCAGGTTACAGACTCCGCTAACCCAGAAATAGTGCTTCAGGTTAAGAACTTTGCTTCAGGATAAGAACAGAAATCGTGCTCCGGCGGCACGGTGGCAGCAGGAGGTCCCATTAGCTAAAGTGGTGCTTCAGGTTAAGAACAGTTTCAGGTTAAGAACTGACCTCCGGAATGAATTAAGTACTTAACCCGAGGTACCACTGTATACTGAATGGAGAGTGTGCATATTGCCCAGATATGCAAATGTCACCAAGGTATGCGCATTCCCCAAGGCCTGTTGATGACTATGCATAAGAACCAGAAGATATATAAAATTTCATTGACATGTTCCAAGGCCTGTTGGAGATGGTGTATGTGCAAAATGGGAGCAAATCTCTCTTCATAGAAGGATAATGTACCCATCTTCCACAAGGCCTGATAAATGTGCACAACTGTCAGTGTAAAGTTAGTCTAGAAATCTTCTCCTTGTTAAGGGGAATTTGGAGATGTTTAGGGAAATCTAGAGAAAGACTCAGCCATACGAGGTCCTACTTGTAGCACAGCTTAGATACAGGTGTACAGTGAGATGTAGACCTTTAAGAACAGAACTTTGCATTCACTCTTTTAAAAAATAATAAAGAAAATAAAGAGAAGAGGAAGTTATGAATTTTCGGTGTTCAGATAAAGATTCAAAATGTTCTTGAATGCCAAGAAGACTTTAAGAATTTACTTAGGTTCACAAAATGAGTGATATGGGTGCTGAACATTTTTCTAACAGAGCAGAAGTAAACCATAATTTGCTGCTCCATTAGATTTTTTCCCCGAGGGCTGAGAATGCATAATTTATGTACATGCCTATTTGTACCAGAAACTGCTGAATGAACTAAGCCAAGAAATACATCAAAGCCTATTGGTCCTAGCCAGCAACGTAGGATCAGGCATAACCCAGAGCCTCTCTTAAAATAACTAAAAGCAGAAAACTTGGGAGACAGACAAAGAGAACTGCAAAGGGGCTTAATAACGTAGACAAGGGATAAGAGATGCAAGAACCATGACAGATGAGGGTGGAGGAAATAGATCCTTATGAGAAAATGGAAAAAACAAAAGTTTGAGAAAGGTGCAGATGATGCAATTGAAGGGGGTTGGGAGAAAATGTCAAATTTGGTTCAAAATGGAAAACTGGCCTGTTCATTCAGTGTACGTGAACCATGAGTATTTAATTCAGCTCAGTTGATTTTGATGGCCTAAGTCAGATTTCTGTATTCATGGCTTGTGTCTAAGTGAAGACACCAAACAGAAACTTTATTTGTCTCTATAAATCTAAAGAATTTGAGGCATAAGTAGAAAAAAGCAGCACCAAGGACTAAAAGCCTTTCATTTTTTCACTAAACACAGGGTCGGATCCAACATCATACCAGCCTAAGCAACAAGACTTCCTATTCCTTTTCCTCCCTTCAACAGCCTCCATGCTCTCCAATCTTCTCTAGAAGACATACACACAACCCAGCAATTTAGAGAAAAATTGGTGAATATGCAGAGGAGGAGAGGGAGGGTAAATTCCATTTGTGCAAGTAGAATCTATTACACAAGGAGAGTGTAATAATTAGATATCACCCATTATGACTTCTCCATGAAGTGAAATGTGAACAATACATCTGAGGGGGGTGTGGGTGGGTGTGGGTGTATAATCTACAAACCTATAAAAAACATTATGAATTATTATTATTTTTTAAAAAAAATACATTGAATTTTCCCTAAGGCTCACCATCTAGTGTCACATTGTATACTGCACTTAAAATGCACTTAAAATGTTTTATTTGCAGCTGTATACCTGAGTCCAGAGAGAGAGAGAGAGGCAGGATACAGAGATCAGATAAGTATGGCAGTATCCCAAATTGATGACTATTATTTAATAAGGCTGGAAATACAAATATTCCAGGATGGGGATGCAAACCGTATGAATCATATTAATATTAACCATATTAATATTTTGAATAAAGGTGCATAAGTGTTCCAAATTAGAATGTACAGACAAGCAAAATATTTCTCCAAGTCATTTAATACAAGCTGGTGTTGATAGCAATTCATTTTCACAGCTCCGAAGCTATTTGAAAATGACAGGAGAAACAAATATGCTAATAACAACCATGGCATTACTTTCGGGGTCCGATCATTTTTCATTGTACCAAGTCCTTAAGAGAAAGGACTATGTGTGGTAACACTATCATTGTTGTCTATTAATAAATATTTGTGCCAATTGTCTGATTTGCTAAGAGATAGGCAAGTCAGTATTCTGCACAGTGACCCAAATATAACTGAAATCCACTGTGCAGTATAAACGTGTAAACAACTCCCAAATCCAGTACAAAAGCAAAACATGGTATATAAAAAAAGCTCAGTGTGCTGTCATTCATTGGTACTGCTAAAGTGGGAGCAGGGGGAGCACAGCTAAAATCAGCCCAATTTTCTCTAGGGACCAGTACAATGAAGCCTGTAATAAAGCAATGAAGGCATCTTGGGAGAAAGTGCTGAATAGATGGAAACAGCTCTTCACCCAGTGAACAGGTCACTGGTGTAAATTACAAAGAGCATGATCCTGTCAGATGCAACATAATGATCTTCAAGATACTAAAGACAAGAAATGCCATGTCCTAAAGCTACAGATGCATTTTGACATGCTGGAAATATTTTGGAACATTTTGAGGCCAAGTGTGTGATAACCTTGACACCCTCTGAAAAAGCTGCCATCAAAACGACTAAACAAACACCGCAACGGGCTATGGAAATTCACTAATCTGGGCCCTGAATTTTCAGAAACCCTCATTCAACATCCTCAGAAAAGTGTTTTCAGGTTGCAGTTACCCTATATTTTACCTCCATTTTCATCCTAAGAGTCTATTAGAATATGAGAATACCAATAATGTACCACATTGTTGAAAATCCAGACAGTTTCAGAGATCTAAAAACAAGTAATAACCTAATAAAGTCAGTGGCATAGCATGGGGGGGGGCACAGGGGCGGTTAGGGGTGCAAAATTTCAACACCCAGTGCTGCCTCAATATAGCCCCATGGTTCCATTGCTAGGCTCCATTGAAAATGGCTTCTCCCTGCAAACCAGGAAATGACCTCTCCAGACAATGGAACAGCTCTTCTTTTCTTATCTCTGTGGCTGCAATCTCCTGGGTGATGCGGACACCATAGGGAGTTGAATGTACATGCTTTTCCTTCCCTCCCACCCTCTCCGCCCTGGGCACTGGCAACCCATGCTGCACCACTGCATTATGTATATAGACACTCAATAAGAGAACAGACACTTGTTTGTATTTTGCATACAATGTGCTGGGCACATTCCTCATGCCCATAAAGTTGTGTTCTGTCTGTATAATGCCAATGTTTGGAGCTCATTTCCTGGTTTTGTTTCCCCACTGTATTCCTTCAACCGTATACAGCAACCTTGGTATTATCTTTCCTTTCTGGAATCAATTCACTAAAAGAAAGAAAGAAACTTTATGTATGCCAACCAAAATATTAGGGCTTCAAATGGGACCAGCTAGAATTATTACTTTCCGTGATCCGTTTTGTCTCTCCTAGACTGTAGCCATAAAATATAGTTAATGAATATTAATCTATACTGAAACACCTATTGGTCTCTGTCATGATTAAGATGTTTAGTTTCCAAGCAGTTGTAAAATATCTGTGCTAAGTATTGATTTTGTGAAAAATGTGTCATTGTGAGGTATAAACAGAAAAAAAATAAAAATCCTGTGGTGAATGAGTCTCTAGATAACAATTCATTTTTGAGAAAGCAATGTCTCATCACACCTGCATATTGAAATATCCCAGCTGGGTCAACATGAATGTAAACACTAGGTGGTTAGAATTTGTTTTCTCCTACTAGAATATTTTCAAGAGGAAAACACTAGAACTGAGGGCTATGATTTAAACTTTAACAACTTGGGGGCAGGATGAACACCTTGGAGGCGGTGCTTGGAGGCAGGATTCTGATCAGATGTTAACTATCCCTTGTGCATCAAACATGCAATGGAGAGAAGACTGTCATCCTTCGCCCATCCATTAATTTTACGAAGCCAAAGCTGTGGTCATTGGAACATTCATGTTAAGACAGGAAGGTTCAGACGAATAGTGGTCCAAAATAGGGGACCTGTGTGGTTCAGATAAATCCCCCTTACATATTTTTTTTTTGTGGAGCAATAGCCCTGCATTCTGCCCCTGCACATGCCTCAGATTCACAGTGAGTGGGAGGTGATTCTGATTGTGCTGATGTAACATCATATTATCATGATGCTGAATTCTTCCCACATAGTCTTCTACATAAGGGGGACCCTGACTGGTGCAGGTTCCCTCCCAGAGCTCTGTATGAAGTTCAATTGCATATTCAGCAAAAGCACAGGTGGTGGGATATGGCTGGAACATCATCTGAGGGCCTTCTTTTTGTGCCTCCTCCACGAGAAGTCTGGAGGGTGGTGTGACGTTAACATATGAGAGTGTTGGAGGTGAAATAGTTAAACAAGTTATCCAATCAGAAGCCAGGGGGTGGAGTCAGAGGGACTATAAAATCAGCTCTGGGAGGGGCGAAAGGAGAGTTTGTTGGGAGTTGGGTGTTTGGTTGGAGTGGGAGTGAATTGGGATAGAGTCTAGGGGTAGGTTGAGTTAGTGTAGCGAAATAAGTTGAGTCAGGAACAGTTAGGAGCTAGGAAGACAAGTAAATATCTGAGAGGTGGTTTAGCAAGTGAGAGCAGGTAGCAGAAGCTGAAGGTCTGGATAGGCACCCTATGATTGTAATTGACCAATACCGTTTACGAAACCACACGCTTGTTAAACTGCAATAAATAAACAGAAGTTTATGTTCCAATTTAACCCTGACTAGACTCAGTATTGTACCAGGTAGGGCCTGGGTGGTGCCAGCGAGA